CTAATAACAAATAATATTGAATGTAAAAACGAATTCTCTTCTGCAGCAAACAATGGCTTCACAAGTCATGAGTGTGATGGGGTGACAGGAATTAATAATGAGACCACTTCTTCTGAACTAGATACTTTACTAGTATGTATATTCTTATTTGACCTGAAAACCATCTCCATTTTAGAGATGAGAACTCTGAAGCTTAGAATATTTATATAAATTGCCCAAGACTATCGTTTGCTCTTATCTATTTAGAACCAAAACCTAAAGTAGGCTCTTCCAAAGTAGAGAGACCTATTCCTATATTCCTATTCCTGCTATATATAAATCTTCATCGTTAGTAGTGACAAGCATTTACTGAATAATTATAAGTACTAGGCATTGTATTGAGTTGTTACAACACATCATCTCATTTCAGAGTTAATCACCCTACAAGTAGCATGGTCATCTAATAATAAAAACCAGTGTTTATTAAGTACTTACGATGTGCTTAGGCTCTTCCAAAGTAGAGAGACCTATTCCTATTCCTATTCCTGCTATATATAAACCACCATCATCGTTAGTAATGACAAGCATTTACTGAATAATTATAAAGTACTAGGCATTGTATTGAGTTGTTATAACACATCATCTCATTTCAGAGTTAATCACAAGTAGCACGGTCATCTAATAATAAAAGCCAGTGTTTATTAAGTACTTACAATGTGCTTGTGTTATCCTGGTTTACATGTGTCATGCCACTTAATTCTCAACGTAAACCTATGAGGTAGGAACTATCACTTTCCCTATTTTACCTGTAAAATTAGGCCGAGAGGATAAAATGTAACAGAAGACTGATCTAAGTATGATTAATTGACTCCTGAAGCCTACGACTGAAAAAGAACATTTTGTGAAAACGTGTATACACGTTTCTGCTGGGGAAGGGGTTATTTCTCAACGTAAACCTATGAGGTAGGAACTGTCACTTTCCCTATTTTACCTGTAAAACTAGGCCGAGAGGATAAAACGAAACAGAAGACTGATCTAAGTATGATTATTTGACTCCTGAAGCCCAGACTCTTTACCTGAGAAACTACAGGTGCCCAGCAGGGAATGGCAATGAGGCCACAGGCCAGATGGGACTGACAGAAAAGAGCACAGGCCCTGTCGAGAGAGGGCAGCCAATACTCATTTGCAGCCAAGCATTACCATGGGGGAATGCAGACCCAAGTCACTGATC